TACTGATGTTACTGACACTGGCCTACTACATGTAAGCAGCCTAGATTTCGGGGATCCACTACGAAAACATGAGATGCACTGCAGGTTTGCTTTCAAACTATAATAATTGTGTAATGTTCAAAGAATTGAAATATCATCAGTGCATTTCCGTTTCCTTTGCTTTTGCAGGTTCAAGCAGAGGCCTCCACTACCTTGGACTGCAATCAATGCATCAGGGGGGGTGTTTGTTATTACTTTGCTGGTGGGTCATATTTTTTATGCTGCAATAAATAGAATAATAAAAGTTGAGGATGGCTATCGTGTAATGAGTGAGCTGAAAAGCCGTGCTGAGGCTGCAGATGTGGCAAAATCCCAGGTATGATATATTTATGGGGTTTATACTATATTATGAAGATTAATTGTTAGCCTGGTGGCAAGAATATTGGACTTCTAGCACACAATTATTTTGTTTATTGCATCATGATTATCGTAATTCAACATCAGAATTTTTTCTGATTGTATACATTCTTTTAATTAAAATTGATATTTGGACTTCACCTTGAGGATTGCTTTCCCTTTTTGTAGTTTCTTGCTACAGTTTCACATGAGATAAGGACTCCAATGAACGGTGTTTTAGGTAATTGAAAGTTTTGATGTTTTAATAGATAATCCCAACCTGTCAATACGTGGTGATAATTATCAGCTATTTAAAATCATTTTCCAGGCATGCTGCAAATGTTGATGGACACTGAGCTTGATAAAAAACAGATGGATTATGCCCAAACTGCACATGATAGTGGTAAAGATCTCATATCAGTCATAAATGAGGTTCTTGATCAGGCTAAGATTGAGGCTGGAAAGCTTGAACTTGAAGCTGTAGCTTTTGACCCACGTGCTATTCTGGATGAAGTTTTATCTCCTTTCACTGAAAAATCTAAAGGAGTAGAGGTGAGATACTATCTTTCAGCTACCTTAGTTTTGTACCTCAGTTTTACAATAAGTCTCACTTGAACTTTGTCTCTATACTTTTTATTGACTCCAGCTGGCAGTTTATGCATCCAATCAAGTACCTCAAGTTGTCATTGGTGATCCTAAACGATTCCGGCAAGTAATTACAAATCTTGTCAGCAATTCAGTCAAGGTTTGCTGTATTTCATGCTGTATTTTTTGTGATTTATTATTCTTCGCATATATTGTAATGCTGGAAACATCTCATAATTTTAGGCGCTGCTGCATTTTCTCCCTTTGAAGCATACTAGGCATTGTAACCCACCTTACCAATTAATCCCTCAGCTTTTTATCTTGTCCTTTTGAAAGTGTGCGTGCCCTTTTCTGATTGATTTTGAGACATCATAGCAGAATTAATAAGTAAATTCATCCATAATCCTGGTGATATTGATCTTTATTCACTATTTCTTTACAGTATCACCTTTTTGTCTTTAATATATATATATTTTTTAACTTTCAATGGCAACTGATCCGTGCCAGTGGTAATACATTGTAATAATACATGAAAAATTTAAAGAATTTATATGTTTATCTCTTCTTTTTGAATTTCATATTAAATTAGTGGATCTTATTGTGGGAATAAGAGAATGAATCTTATTGCTTATATATAATCTGTCTTAATTAGTTTACTTGGTGCATTTCAGTTCAATCATGATAAAGGACATGTGTTTGTTTCTCTTCATCTGGCAAATGAAGTGAAGAATCCACTTCATGTTATGGATGCAGTGCTGAGTGAAGGCTTAAACGTCAATCAAGATGTATCAAACAGAACATATGATACATTAAGCGGGTTTCCTGTATGCAACAAATGGAAAAGTTGGGCAAATTTTGAAAAGTTAAGTAGCGTAGATGATCCTGAAAATTTTCAATTATTAGTAATAGTTGAAGACACAGGTACGGGAATTCCTACAGATGCACAAAGCCGCATATTCACGCCTTTTATGCAGGCTGATAGTTCCCCCTCCCGAACTTATGGTGGAACTGGAATAGGACTGAGCATTAGTAAGTGCCTAGTTGATCTCATGGGAGGAGAAATTGGATTTGTAAGTGAGCCTGGAATTGGAAGTACTTTTTCCTTTACTGGAACTTTCAGAAAAGGAGAAAGCACGTCTCTGGATGAAATGTGGCAGAATAATAGTTTTGGTTCAGAGTTCCAAGGATTGAGAGCATTAGTGGTAGATAGAAGAAAAATCCGAGCTGAGGTCACAAGATATCATCTGCAGAGATTGGGAATGTCTGTGGATATAACTAATAGTCTGAATTCTCAATGCTCTTGTCTATCTAGTACTTGCGACATGAGGTAATTTACAATTTTTGCAGTCTAAAAGTATAAACTTTCCTATTTATGTTGACATTCTGCAATAACATAAGAGCAGTAACTGAAAAATATAGGTGTTTTAAATATTGTTCTGAACTTAAATGTAGCTTGTTAGACTTCAGAATACTTCACATGTACTAGTCATTTACAATGGAAACAGATGATTTTAGAATATAAAAAATCAGTATGACCTGCTTTATAGGAAGGTGGGTAAGAAAAAAACAAAGGTGACATTCACAATAAGTTATTTCCCCAGACTGACTTGATGATCCTCAGTGCTTACTGTCACGTGAAATATGAATGTTGTTGATCTTGAAAAGGTTTAAGGTGCTGGTGTTCTGGGGAAAACTGGGAAAACTCAGTTTTTGTATTAATAAATTGGACTAATTGGTTCTTCTGAATCAGTTTGATAAATTCTATCATTATTAAGATAATACACATTTCCTTAGTACTAAATTACTACTTTTGCTTTTTCTTCAGTATGTCAGGCCAGTTGGCCATGATTTTGATAGACAAGGATGCTTGGGATAAAGAATGTCTTATCTTATGCAAAATCAGGAAGCTTAGACAGAATGGCATCAAAAGGGATCCAATAGACTTACCGAAGATTTTTCTCCTGGACAACCACCCTAGAACCAACGAACATGATGAGCTAAAGTCAGTTGGTATCATAGATGATGTACTGATGAAGCCTCTTTGGCTTAGTTCTTTGGTTCACTCTTACAGAGAATCCCTTGGTGCTGAAAAAAATCAAGTACAAAGGAAAAAAGTATCCAAACTTGGGAGTTTATTAATGCACAAACAAATTTTGGTTGTTGATGATAATGCAGTGAATAGAAGAGTTGCAAAAGGTTTTCTGCAGAAGAATGGCGCAAAAGTTACTTCTGTGGAGAGTGGCATGGCTGCTCTAAAGGTGCTTAAACTGCCACATAGTTTTGATGCTTGTTTCATGGATCTCCAAATGCCAGAAATGGATGGGTAATTTATCTTCTTATTCCTATTTTTTGAGTTTTTTGAATTTTGATTGCAACTGAAGACACTGTTGTCACATATAAGAATAGAAATAGGGAGCAATGGCTGGTCTAGTAAGTAGATAATAATTAATAGAACTGGTGCCAAAACTCAGACTCCTACGTTTATTTTCTTTTGCCAAAGAACCTGCTACCTAGAATATTTTAGCCGCAACTTATTTTTCTTGGGTTTCATGATTGTTTTGCTAACCTGCAATAGTTATATAAATAGATATTAAGATTATTATTAATTTCATTAAAATATATAAAAATATGCTATCACATTTTAGATTTTCCTCTGGGATTAGTTTCCCAGGTATGTCACAGGCTCAGTTACTGTAATTAAGGGAGTTGATAAATCCTGCAATCTGCATGCTATTATTCTGTTATCCTTAGGTGTGACATATGGCCAGTTAACTTGTGTTAGAAATCCCAGACTCTGAATGCTTTTCTAGATAGGATCTCACAGACCTGAAACCATGGCTGAGATATAATTTAAAAGTATTTCTCTGTATTTTAAATGGTACAGTTTTGAAGCAACAAGGGAAATCCGCCGAATGGAGAGCGAGGTAAATGAGAAACTTGCGTGTGGACAAGCATCTGCAGAGATGTTTGGTAACATCTCATATTGGCACATTCCAGTACTAGCAATGACAGCAGATGCAACTCAAAGTTCAAATGAAGAGTGCAGAAATTGCGGAATGGATGACTATGTGACAAAGCCATTTGAAGAAGAGCAGCTCTATATGGCAATGACACGTTTCTTCCAGCCAGATTCATAGTGTGGAGTGCCTAGGTTAAAACGATTGATTAGTAGTTCAGATACCCTGCTGACAAGTGTTGACCAACCTCAAGCAACATATGTCAAGTGCCAGTTTCTCCATTAAAAGAGCTAGCGGGTGGATTAATTTTGGCTAGTTATGTCCAGATATTGTAATGGTTTAACATGCCCCAGCTGGTGTGTTCCTAATTCAGACACTGCTTGCCAGCATCAAAGCTTTCAATTCTGCATCATGGATCTCAGCTATGGTGTTGTTTACTGATAGTAAGTACTGTGTTCATCATCCCTTGAGTGAAGAGTTCACTTGTAAGACTATTCACCCATTAATAAATTTTGTTCCTTTTTTCATTTTTTTTCCAGGATGCTGATTTCAAGTTCAAGATGTTATCACTTATTGCAGCAGAGAAGATCAACACAAGGCATAATTGCATTGGTGTACATAACCCGTTTTTGGTTCCTGCCTCCCATCTCTGATATATTCTTTGTATATATTTATCCAGAGCAATTAGATTAAGATAAAATGTTACAGTGACGACATCATTGATTCAATTTTTGTGGCCAAGATGGAAAAGGGTGAAAGATCTTTGAATCCTCAGAATTTTGTAAGTAACTTGTAAAGCAAAGTTATTATTACATGACACCGGTAGAAGGCATATGTAACAGTATTAATATGTTGTGACCAGTGAAATTTCAACTTGTCACTGAGTTGTAACTGTTTCTTTCCACATAAATGCTGTGTGAAGGCTAATAAATGTTCAATTCATTAAAGTTGAGTATTGAGCTACAAGTAAGGCTACTGGTATGGGAGATGAGACAACAGAACATGAGGACCACTAACAAAATAAGCCTTTTTCCCACACTGAAAAGGGCAAAAGAAAAAAACGGGGTTAAAGCTGAGAAGTGTATGTGGAAAGTAAGGAAGAAAGAAGGAAGTGAGATAAATAATCATTTTGTCATTGAGAGGGAAAAAAAAGGTAAATCGTTGTTGAGTTGGAAGAACTTCTGACAGCAGAGAAAGTTAAGAATATAAGTCTTTTTCTGTGCGTTTTTTCTTTCCGTGAGTGTGGAGCACGTGCCAAAGCATCACAAAACCGCTAAAACTGGAAGTGGCGTTAGAAATAACATAAACTTTTGCCATGTTACAGCTCAGTTCTTTCTGTCAATGTGGCTACCATGAATGATCCACCTGCAAGGGGATAACGTAAAATTCGTTTTTAGCCGTTAGAAAGAGACCAAAACTTCCTACCTTTTTCTGTTTGTGTACTATATAAGCAACAACATTGGTTATGTCTTTGGTGTTTATTCTATACACTAATTAGTCTTTATCAATCACCAAAGCCTCTCTTATCTTTTCTCCAAAATGGCAACATTGATGCTGAAGTTAATGCTTCCTCTACTTTTCCTGTTCATGATTCCTCCAAAAACAGGTAACGGAAAAGTGCTTCTTCCTCTACCCCAGAAATGAAAACATGTAACTTTTTATTCCTTCTCCCTATTGTATGCATTGTGTTCATCTCAAAAAAGTACATTGCATTCATGCAGCATATGCAGAGTTTGAGCAATGGTGTGTGGCTGATGAGCAGGCCACTGTGGATGAATTGCAGGCAGCCTTGAATTGGGCATGTGGAAAAGGAGGTGCAGATTGCAGAAAAATCCAAGCGAACCAACCTTGCTATCTTCCAAACACATTAAAAGACCATGCTTCTTATGCCTTCAACAGCTACTATCAGAAATTCAAGCACAGTGGAGGTTCTTGCAACTTCAGAGGAGCTGCCATGACAACAGAAGTGGATCCTAGTAAGTATCAAACTGATTCCTCGTAATCACGATTTCCCATTTGAGTATATATATATATATATATAGCATAGAACAAAGTGCATGAATAATGATGATTTATAACCTTTGAATTCTTAATGTTTGTGTGCAGGTCATGGTTCTTGTCACTATGACTTCATTCCATGATCGCAACTGTGACAGAAGACTTAAAATAACTGCAGCAAAAACTAGAGCTCGAACTGTTGTGTGGTCCCAAACTGCAATTAAGCATTTTTTTTAGGGGCCTTTTTTTATACTATTGATAGAGCTGAAATTTTACTTTGCAATTGCAAAAACTAATAAATTAATATCTTTACTTTAATAAATGTCTAGTCCAGTTTAATTTCGTCTTTTTTTAACAATGTGATGACTCTTTCATCGTGTATCTCTAATAATTTCATCTTGTATTTTTAAATTTTTTCCTAAATTCCAAAACTATTATCCGTAATTCCAAAAACCCTACGTCCCATGATTTCAAAATTCAAAAGATTTTTTTAATCAGATTTTGAAATCTAAGCAAGGATTTCTCAAAATATTATCGGATTTAAAAGTATGTTTTTCATCAAGTTTCGAAATTTGATGTAAAAAAAATTCTTCATCAAATTTTGAAATTCGATAAAAAAGATATAAACTTTTAAGACTATTTTGAAAATTGGAGATATAGATAGATGAAACAATCCAATATCAGTACTAATTTTTCTGCACTGGACCTCTGAGGCCCAATTCGAATTAACTTGGCCCAACAACCAGTCTCCTAGGCAATGCAATTTCTTTTAGCATCGTATACTTTCTTTCTGCATCTTCATATGTGGGAGAAATGTCTACATTTCCATGACTCTAGATCGTATAATTGATAAATTTATTATGATTTTTTTTAAATTTTTAGACCTAGAAATATATTCTAAATACTTAATATATTTTTAGTTCATATAATTTGAAATATAAAATGTATTTTTAAATTTAAATTACAAATCGTAAAATACGAAATATTTTCTGAATCTTCGACCACAAAATCAAAGGTTTAAGTAATTTAGATGTAAGGAGAAATCATAGCCTTAAACAACGTTTGAACGACTGTATTTTGTCTTTCTGTGTTTTTCGAACGCTCTTTTTTATTTCGAAATATTTATTTCCCAATGTAAAACTTATATTTTGAAATATATAAAATTTATCTCTTTTTTAGTTATTTTTTACACAGATTTTACGTTTTTTAAGAATGATACAAGTAAAAGGTATAGGGCCTCCATAAGATGAAGTTGGGCCCATCAATAGATAAATGGGCTATACAATATTATATCAAATGTTAATTTATTTGGTCAATTTATTTTATCAGTACAGTTCTTTTAGTACATTCAATATTAAATTTTTAACCTAAATATTTAAAATCGAAGCTTTGAAAATAAATATTAAAATATTCATTGAAAATACTTCTCCTTAGGAACGTAAAAATTATTTAGCATTGTAATAAATAAAGCATTTTGAAGGCTGATAAAATAAAGCTATTAAAAAGAATTCTCCCCTCAAAAAGTAAATATTAGCTCATAAGTACAGTTAAAATAAATAAAATATTGAAAAAGTGCATAATTTTTTTCATACAACACATGGGAAAAAGGTAACATTTCTATTGTATCTTTGTCTTTTCTCTCTTTACAAATAGTTTTTCGTGAAAAACAATACTATTGCCATATAGATAATTAAAATGAAGTGATAATTATTTAGTTCTTCATTGTAAATTATCATACCAAACTATTCTTTACCTTAATATTATTTCTCTATGAGAATATCCATAAAAAAAGCCATGTAAGTTAGGTTTTTCTTCTTTATATATACTGCTTTACTTTCTCATTTCTATCCAATGTGAAACTTGGACTCACACTTGACTCTCTCTTTACAAATAGTCTTTCATGAAAAACAATACTATTGCTATACAGATAATCAAAGTGAAGTGATAATTATTTAGTTCTTCATTGTAAATTATCATATTAAACTATTCCTTACCTTAATATTCTTTCTGTCTGAGAATATCGATAAAAAAATGTCATGTAAGTTAGGTTTTTCATCTGATATTACTCAAAAATAGGGCATCTGATATTACTCAAAAATAGGAAAAGTATATAGCAATGATAGGAACTGTTAGATTAATGAGAGTCTTCAGATTAATGAGTCTTTCATCTTTATATACTGCTCTACTTTCTCATTTCTATCCAATGTGGGATTTGGACTCACACTTGGATTTCCAACAATTTCCCCCTTAATGATCAAACACCAATAACATATCTGAGCCAACTATATAAGAAATCGACACCATTCTTTACCCAAAACCTTAAGACAATGGGTTAATGGGTCTTTCATTTTTATATATTGCTCTACTTTCTCTTTTTTGTCCAATGTGAAACTTGGACTCACACTTGAATTCCTAACAGAAACTAGATTGAGAAGTCCTAGAAGAAGAGTCAACCAGAATAAATTGAGAGGTGAAGCATTCTATTGTCTCTATTTTGAATTTGGAATTAGAATTAACAGCATTGTTCCTTCAANCTTCCTCTACCCCAGAAATGAAAACATGTAACTTTTTATTCCTTCTCCCTATTGTATGCATTGTGTTCATCTCAAAAAAGTACATTGCATTCATGCAGCATATGCAGAGTTTGAGCAATGGTGTGTGGCTGATGAGCAGGCCACTGTGAATGAATTGCAGGCAGCCTTGAATTGGGCATGTGGAAAAGGAGGTGCAGATTGCAGAAAAATCCAAGCGAACCAACCTTGCTATCTTCCAAACACATTAAAAGACCATGCTTCTTATGCCTTCAACAGCTACTATCAGAAATTCAAGCACAGTGGAGGTTCTTGCAACTTCAGAGGAGCTGCCATGACAACAGAAGTGGATCCTAGTAAGTATCAAACTGATTCCTCGTAATCACGATTTCCCATTTGAGTATATATATATATATATATAGCATAGAACAAAGTGCATGAATAATGATGATTTATAACCTTTGAATTCTTAATGTTTGTGTGCAGGTCATGGTTCTTGTCACTATGACTTCATTCCATGATCGCAACTGTGACAGAAGACTTAAAATAACTGCAGCAAAAACTAGAGCTCGAACTGTTGTGTGGTCCCAAACTGCAATTAAGCATTTTTTTTAGGGGCCTTTTTTTATACTATTGATAGAGCTGAAATTTTACTTTGCAATTGCAAAAACTAATAAATTAATATCTTTACTTTAATAAATGTCTAGTCCAGTTTAATTTCGTCTTTTTTTAACAATGTGATGACTCTTTCATCGTGTATCTCTAATAATTTCATCTTGTATTTTTAAATTTTTTCCTAAATTCCAAAACTATTATCCGTAATTCCAAAAACCCTACGTCCCATGATTTCAAAATTCAAAAGATTTTTTTAATCAGATTTTGAAATCTAAGCAAGGATTTCTCAAAATATTATCGGATTTAAAAGTATGTTTTTCATCAAGTTTCGAAATTTGATGTAAAAAAAATTCTTCATCAAATTTTGAAATTCGATAAAAAAGATATAAACTTTTAAGACTATTTTGAAAATTGGAGATATAGATAGATGAAACAATCCAATATCAGTACTAATTTTTCTGCACTGGACCTCTGAGGCCCAATTCAAATTAACTTGGCCCAACAACCAGTCTCCTAGGCAATGCAATTTCTTTTAGCATCGTATACTTTCTTTCTGCATCTTCATATGTGGGAGAAATGTCTACATTTCCATGACTCTAGATCGTATAATTGATAAATTTATTATGATTTTTTTTAAATTTTTAGACCTAGAAATATATTCTAAATACTTAATATATTTTTAGTTCATATAATTTGAAATATAAAATGTATTTTTAAATTTAAATTACAAATCGTAAAATACGAAATATTTTCTGAATCTTCGACCACAAAATCAAAGGTTTAAGTAATTTAGATGTAAGGAGAAATCATAGCCTTAAACAACGTTTGAACGACTGTATTTTGTCTTTCTGTGTTTTTCGAACGCTCTTTTTTATTTCGAAATATTTATTTCCCAATGTAAAACTTATATTTTGAAATATATAAAATTTATCTCTTTTTTAGTTATTTTTTACACAGATTTTACGTTTTTTAAGAATGATACAAGTAAAAGGTATAGGGCCTCCATAAGATGAAGTTGGGCCCATCAATAGATAAATGGGCTATACAATATTATATCAAATGTTAATTTATTTGGTCAATTTATTTTATCAGTACAGTTCTTTTAGTACATTCAATATTAAATTTTTAACCTAAATATTTAAAATCGAAGCTTTGAAAATAAATATTAAAATATTCATTGAAAATACTTCTCCTTAGGAACGTAAAAATTATTTAGCATTGTAATAAATAAAGCATTTTGAAGGCTGATAAAATAAAGCTATTAAAAAGAATTCTCCCCTCAAAAAGTAAATATTAGCTCATAAGTACAGTTAAAATAAATAAAATATTGAAAAAGTGCATAATTTTTTTCATACAACACATGGGAAAAAGGTAACATTTCTATTGTATCTTTGTCTTTTCTCTCTTTACAAATAGTTTTTCGTGAAAAACAATACTATTGCCATATAGATAATTAAAATGAAGTGATAATTATTTAGTTCTTCATTGTAAATTATCATACCAAACTATTCTTTACCTTAATATTATTTCTCTATGAGAATATCCATAAAAAAAGCCATGTAAGTTAGGTTTTTCTTCTTTATATATACTGCTTTACTTTCTCATTTCTATCCAATGTGAAACTTGGACTCACACTTGACTCTCTCTTTACAAATAGTCTTTCATGAAAAACAATACTATTGCTATACAGATAATCAAAGTGAAGTGATAATTATTTAGTTCTTCATTGTAAATTATCATATTAAACTATTCCTTACCTTAATATTCTTTCTGTCTGAGAATATCGATAAAAAAATGTCATGTAAGTTAGGTTTTTCATCTGATATTACTCAAAAATAGGGCATCTGATATTACTCAAAAATAGGAAAAGTATATAGCAATGATAGGAACTGTTAGATTAATGAGAGTCTTCAGATTAATGAGTCTTTCATCTTTATATACTGCTCTACTTTCTCATTTCTATCCAATGTGGGATTTGGACTCACACTTGGATTTCCAACAATTTCCCCCTTAATGATCAAACACCAATAACATATCTGAGCCAACTATATAAGAAATCGACACCATTCTTTACCCAAAACCTTAAGACAATGGGTTAATGGGTCTTTCATTTTTATATATTGCTCTACTTTCTCTTTTTTGTCCAATGTGAAACTTGGACTCACACTTGAATTCCTAACAGAAACTAGATTGAGAAGTCCTAGAAGAAGAGTCAACCAGAATAAATTGAGAGGTGAAGCATTCTATTGTCTCTATTTTGAATTTGGAATTAGAATTAACAGCATTGTTCCTTCAAAGTCAAAGTCCTTGGTAGACTTGAACAAATTCTGACTAAGACAACATATAAAACCAAAAAATTATATATTAATTAAGGAGTGATCCTAGCCCAGAAATTTCACCAAAACCACATACTAATTATGCAGTAATTCGATTCCAGTCAGAAGTTAAAAATACACCATTCTTTGTAAAATTATAATCTTTTGTTTCTCTTGGTGAAACTTTTCGCTGAGAAAATTGAGTAGGAAAATAAAGAGATGCACAATTTGTGGTATGTGCTCGACAAGTGCACAATTTGTTCCGAATTTCAAAATTCTCAGATGTTGAAATGCCCTCATACTTCTGACTTTATATATATTTGACCAATTCTATATTGCAATTGGTTATGCGATATACCTACATTCTAGAAAATAACCTACAATTCACTACTAAATGCTTGCTCACCTTGTCCCTGTAGAAATCGGATTAAACGTGTTATTTACTTTGGACAATAGTATAGTATAGTATGTTTTTCATAGTACACAGGATACGTGTATTTATTAGACCAATCACAAGTTACCACATAATTGTAAAAATGTTGCCAAAATAATTTGTTAAAAAAACATTTTTCTTATTTAATTTACAGCAATTTTTTAATTTATTAAAATTGTATAATTTGATTGGTGAATTGTGTTAATTAAAAAAATATATTTTTACCTAGTGTTTCACTGTATGTTTCATCTTCTTTAGTTAATTTTAACATTTAGAAACTTATAACACTAATAAAATCTAACTCCAATAATATCTTCTAATCCAAAATCTTAAAATAATAAATTTATGAATTTTTATTTCATATAATTCTAATTTTCTCATTTCTATTATTAAATATGATATGTAGATTCATTTGGATTGGATTTCCAAAGGAGATAAAAGGTGTACTTGATGTATGTGTATATATATATATATATATATAGTAATACACACTCTCGCATGCATTACCATTTGGCAACTTGTAAATTTAAAAATGTTTATTTTGGGGTGATGAATAATTATGATTTGGAAATAGAAAAAGGAAAAGAATAATAATAAACCCTAAACGAGAGAGAGGAAGAAGAATAGATGCGAAGTCCTCCACCGCACACTTCCCAATCGGAAGAAACAAAAATGGAGTGCAGCCTAAAATAAGGAGTGTATGAAGAATTTGTTCGAAAGTAAGGAGTGGCACATGTGCAGAGAGGGACCCATGTGTTTGCCAAAATGCATGGCAGAACATGTTGTTGAACAATGCTCTTTAAAATTTACAAAACCTGCAACTTCGGTAATTGATAGGATAAGAATAGGACAAATTCTGCAGATAAAAAGGAGAGAACATTAAGCTAATGTATCTCCCAAAAGCCCTTACATGGGCGGTGCCATGACACAGAAACTCAATACAAAAGTCAACATCTTTCATCATGCTTTTGGCTTTCAATCACACTCCTCAGACGTGCTAACATTTTCAGACATCTAATTGGACCGAGTTTAAGATTGCCCCACTGTCTGTTTTTTTGTTAGAATCTCATTTGAGTATAAGTCTCACGTTTGCATTAGAGCTTTGGGGGAAGAAATGATGTTAATATATTATGTGGTTGAGTTTATATTTTATCGGTGTATGTATCTCTTAAGTAAATCTCCTATTCGATCGCTTTAACAATGGTATCAGAGTTGATGATTTATTTTGGTGGCTAACTCCAGCAGCGAGTACAATAGTTCTTGTATCAAAGTTTTCGTGGTAAAAGCTTTCAAATAAGCATGTTTCGTTAAGATGAACCAAGTAAGCATATTTCGTTAAGATGAACTGGAGTATAAAGAATTATTCGTGACTGAAGGTGGAGTACACCAATATAAAAAAGACTCACAATAAAAAAAAGTGACGCCAATCTCTTATATGATTAAACTCATATCTTATTAGTATTATATTTTCTCGATAAATTTCCTTTTCGATCATCCAAGGCATAAAACATTTTTCACTCTAATTAACGGGGGACAGATGTTTATCTGCAAGCCCTACATTTTCTCTTTAGGCATGCAAGTTAGAAGGCTTTGCATCCTAAAGTACTACATTCGACAACCTTTTGCTCTTTCATCAATAACTTCGTCTCTTCACTTCCTCTTCATTTTTATAAGCTCCTGCTGTTTGGTTAATCATTAAAGTTTCGGCTTCTCAGTTTTACTGCTACTGATTGGAAGAACGACAATTAAGAAAAGTTAGACTTATAAATATATAGTTTTAAATGCATTAGGAGATAAGTCTTTTTCTTTATGTTAAAGATGTTTTAAATTATAAAAAGAATAATTAGAATGTGAAATTGAAATCAATTATTGAAACCTACTCTACTCCTTGGAGATTTTTTTATTGATTTCTAATATTTAACGTGCTAACTTAATTGTCTTTTAACTTTAGTATTACTAACACAAAAAAGGACGCTATAATAACATGTAATTCTTTAATTAAAATTAAAATTTTACTTTAAAAATTTTCATATTTTTTTATGCAAACTTACGTATATATTTAACAATATATTTGGACACAATCAACACCTTGCATTGTTAAGGGGTTATACTGCTCTACCAACCCATCTTATTCTTTACTTTCACATGTAGCTGAAAGATAAAAATGAATTCCATTTTGATAAATAAATATGT